CATCAAACTGAAATGTGAAATAATACAGCCAGGCAACCAGGGTTACTCATGGGGCATCTAAACCATGTTTATCTGCAGAATTTCCACAAAAAAATCACTTGAAAAAACACAGGAGCATATGATCTACCAGGGTGCAATAAGAATCAAATGTTCTTGGCCCAGTTTGTTGAATATCAAGAGCTTTCTGATGTGTTTAAGAGTGAATTTTTGATGTTCTATGAAAAACCTATTGAAGATCAAATCCATCATCCAAACAGACAAAGGTCACAGGAAAGGCTACTAGACTATTATTAACATTTTGCAACCATCATGCTGTTACCCAAGCTTCTATAAAAAAAACAAACCCAAAAACCCAGTGACATATGACATAACCCCAGCTAATCTACACATAAAGGTCACTGCAAATATGCATTTTAGCATCTTACAAGCATCCTACTGAGTTCCACCTTTTATATTTATTTTTCTTGGAGCCGCCGGATAGCTTCACAGCATTTGTGTCCTTTTCTCACTCATCCCTGCATTTGTGTCCCTCAAGCAGATGTGGCAGATGCTTCCGGTTGCTGGAAAAGGCCGCGGCACTGCCAGCTCAGATCCGTCTTCGTTTACGGAGGCTTGTGGTCGTCAAGCCCTGGTGTGGCTCAGCGGGAGGCTCAAGCGTGGCATCATAAATCCACATTAGAGAAGGACAAGACATCGTAAGGGGGAAGGAAAGAGGCTGGGCCGATAACAAATACTCCAGGACCAGCAATGCCCCAACGTACGCGTAAAGACCTCATAAAAACTGCTACACAACCTTTAAGGATGAGGATCAGTGTTGGTGATTTCTGTACCTCGTGTTGCTTTGTTTAAAATTTACAAAGCATGCCCCCACACTCACAACCGCCATTTACATTTTTTCTGTTTTTTACTAAGGGAAAGGTCAGCAGCTGGGGCAACATGCCAGGTGTTTGCGGAGCAGCAGACCAGTGCAGTGTGGTGAATGTAATTACGGCACTCTGGCAATCTGATAACCTGCCAGCCTGTCTCTCAACAGTAGGAAAGTGCACTGGCATATTAAATGTGGCTTAACAAACAGGGAACAGTGTGTGTGTGTGTGTGTGTGTGTGTGTGTGTGTGTGTGTGTGTGTGTGTGTGTGTGTGTGTGTGTGTGTGTGTGGGCAGTATAATGGGGTAAGTGTTCTGTCGGGTTTTCAGGAGTTTTCATCTGTAGGTGTTTTATTATTCAGTTCTCAAAACACTGACAAATTTCAGACCTTCTGATATATAAAAACTAATGCATTGCAACTTCAGTTTCTCTTTGCTAGGAGGCTATACTGTGTACACCCAGGTTATGGGAATGGCTGACAGTAACAAGGGAGGCACTTTTCTTCCTCAGGTTTATGCACAAGGCTGGGTTTGCCCCCTGGGAGTTATGTCTGTTGTCTAGAAGGATGCACTTCCTTAACAGCAAAAGTCAGGGAACAAAAGTCTCCTGTGAGCACTAAAGGACAGGTAAGATGACTGTTACATAATCAGCTGCAGCCTTGATCTCCATTATCAGCTGTGATAGTGGCTCTGTGTCTTGCTGAATGCTAAGATGTGGCTTCAGCTGCGTGTTGGGTGAATAAAGTGGGGGTCTTCGAGAGCAGGGTACCAACATTCCCTTTTAATGCTTTAAAAGGCTTGCTAAGCAATTGGAGCTATCAGAGAAATTACATACAGATAATTTCTGCATGTTTAATTATGGAACAAAGTCTCTACTTTTGCACATTTATTTAATCCCACTTAAACTTCCACTTCCTGCTCACAGGAAGACACTTAAAAAACATCTCAGGCTGTTTGTTATTAGGTTTGTAAATTTATGGTTTATTAAATGTTCTCAGATGAAACTTATTTACATTAAAGGACATTTTTTGTAGGTTATGAGGTCATAACTTAGGAGGTAGGTGAGTGTTACCATTCAGTTTTCTAATTGCTAGTAACAATCCCCAACTTACTAACATTTAGGAAATTGCAAGTTAACACTCTTGGTGAACTCGAACCATCCCTTAATCACATTGGCAGGCCTAGGCTGCTGGGGGCTTTCCATGATGCACTTGTTCTTCACTCACCTCGTTTCACTTTCTGTGTGTTTATACACCACTCTGCATTTAACAATTAGTTATGATTCTCTGCCTCTCTTCCACATTGTTTTTGTCCTGTCTTTCTCTCCTCACCCTGATTCTGCTGGAGATTTCTTGCTGTTAAATGGGGAGTTTTTCCTTCCCACTATTGCCAAGTGCTTGCTCATAGGGGGTTGTCTGATTTTTGTTTTTGTTTTTTCTCTATTATTTTTGGGTCATGTGCCATTCTAGAGAGATTTTAAAAAAAGAAATAAAACATACTCCATGGTTTTTATAATAAATATGACCTGGGCCTAGAACATGTGTCTCTAGGGAAGAAGTTTACCTGATTTGTCTACCAAAATTTGTCTAACATAACATAAATATGGGCACTTGTGTAGAAAGGGACTAAAAGAAAACCACATTTTAAAGGGTGGGTCATAGTAATTAAGCATATTGAACATAATTAAACATATTACCATAAATACAATCTGTACAGTACCAAAGTATAAAAAGACATAGTTTCTTATATATGTGTTCTTAAACATGAAAAGCACTCATTTATAACAAAGAATTAATATTAATTTAAAAAATGACCTCTCAAGCACGTACAGAGGTTTGAGTAGAAACCTTTGTTGGTAAGTATTCATACAAGAGGCAACAAGTAGGTAATATATGTACCAGTTGAGCCTCTGGTGCCAATATCTGTAACATTATCTGCTTACTAACAAGTACAACCATCAGTCCTGCCCCTGTCTGGAAATGAGCTTTAGCCGACGGCCCTAACAGACTGCTGAGGGAGTCCAGAGAGCTGCCCGAGACACCACCTCCTCACTGGACCTCACTTGACACCACAAGTCAGCGGCCAGCTATTTAGACATCCAGGCTGCTTGGAGACTAGAGTTAACGATCACAAAGGGTTCAGAGACGGTGTCGTCATGCTTAAAGAAAAGAAAGCCCTCCCCTCACTCATCTATTTTATTCTGCTTCCCCTTCAGCCATTCATTCTCTCCCTTTTCTCTCTCACTGTAATTACACCTGCTCTGCCAAGCGTAGCTTGAGGCGTGGCTGGGCAAAAATCACTTGTTAATATGAATCTGCAGATAGTGTGCGAGGAGGAGAGCTACTTACTGATGGTCTCTGTGGAAACATTAGGCTGTAAGCAGCCTGCACCTGTACGCCCCTCCTGGGAAGGCCAAGTGAGAAGCCTCACTTTGGGGAATAAAGTGTGCGTGTAGAATGAGACCATCCGCTTTCAAAAATCAGCCGGCAACAATTTCGAATGCACAGTTGGGTAAGGGCTTGTTTAATGGGCTAAAACTTCAGTGCTAAAGCGTGCATGAGGAAGGTATAAATCAAAGGTGACATTGTTGAATTAGAGGACACACACATTACACACAAAAGTACCCTCCCCATCTCTAAAACTGGCAAAGCTGTTGTTTGAACCAATGTCTTGAGAGATGCAAGAGTTCCACATGGTACGCACAAAGCTAAAGATACCGATAGTATAGATAACACCACTGATATTGGTATCAGATTGATAATAGCATGACTGGATTGACACTTTGTTTCTATCTACCAAGTTCAATATGTAACCTATTCTATGAATTCTATGAAATTCATTATTTTTTCTGCAAAGCTGAAAGGTGTGTTTTGTTGTGTTATTATTGTGAAAAGTAAAAATCGCAATGATTCAGTGATCACTGAAATGTGTTCAGAATTTGCAAACTGATAACGATTCATTTCAGAAATCATGACACACTGCTCTCCCCTCCATAAGCAGCCTTAATAAGTCAAAAGCATTGGTATTGATATCATCAGCGCTGGCCCCGTATTTACTTGGTATCACATTGATAGCAAAATTTGCAGTATCACACAGCACTACCTGCCGCGCCTGCAGGAGACACACAAAGCATCAACACTAACCGGAGCACCAGATAACACAGACAGCGTTCCACATGACTTCCCTTTCTGATATCCAACAAGTCTAATCAGACACATCCAGAGACAGTCCCAACTACAGCAGCCGCAGCTGATGACAAAAGCTCTTATTTTCCCCCCTACCTTGAAACACACAGATGTGCAGAAACACGCAGGCCTGCCAAAACTGTGAAGGAAATCTGTGCAAGAGGCATGCTGCGTGCACTGGAAATAGCATGCTGCGGGCAACGTGAGCCCCTTCATCAAAGAAACTGAGGAATAGGGAGATGATTATCTGTAATCTCTTCTTTTTTTAAAGGCCAAGGAAGTTCACAGTTGTTCCTGCATGCAGACACAACAAACATCATTATTTTGTACTGCTAGATGGCAACACGCATGGCATCCCTTCAAAGGAATACCACGCATTATTAAATTATTAATCCATACTATAGTGGACAACATGAAAAAAAAGAAATAACCCTCCCCCCAATACAACAGCAACTGACAGATGAGTAAAAACACTAATGACTTACTTCCAGGGATGCAAGTTCCCCTAAAGAAGGGTTACATGAAAAGAAAAGCCGCTTGGGCTCATTTCCATAATACCTCCGTGTGCCCCCATGAGCGCCAGCATCTCTGGTTTGGTTTTTCTTCATTTGCATGTGCCATGGAGCGACACGAATACTGATTTTTTCCCCGGGTTTTTGCAGCTGGAGCATATTGAAGTGCTTACAGTAAACGCTGGTAGGAGCTGTTAGTAGTGAGATTAGTCTTCTGGCTGCAGTGCAGGCTCACAGACATTATTCTGGGAGGGGACGGGGTCACAGCAGAGCCAGTGGTTCTTTATCAGACACACAGCGTGAAGTAAATTGGACCGGAGATAACAGTTGGGCTACTCTCATCAACTTTAAACCCACAGACAGAAGCTCATTTGAATTCAGGACGTGTCCTCTATTCAACATCAGAATTTGACTTCTTTCCACAGAAAGTTGCTTGTTAATGAGAACACAGCCGTACACTGTTACCCTGGAGATACTATAAGTGGCAAAAGTGCAAACGTTTCACACATTGCTGAGCTCGCTGACAGCTGGAGTGAGATTTAGTGTTTGTCATGTGGTTTTTAGCCGAGTTGTGGCCCTGCCTCAGGAATGTAAGTGTGTGTGTGTGTGTGCCCGTGAACTCCTTCATCACAGCTTTGGGATCACATTCCTCAGTCTTACAATTAAAAAGCCCTCAGTCGAGACAGATACCAGCAATCCAGAGGCATTTTATTCAGCTCAATATCATCACAGGAGAAAAAAAAAAGAGCAATCACATCCACCTAATAAATCCGAAGAGCTAATGCAGTGTGCACTATAATCATTCAAAAGAAGGCATACTGTATTACACATGTTCACGTTTAAAAAACAAACTCAAGCAGTGTAACATTTGTCTGCAGCTGAGGCTTTACGAGAAGGATGCAACGACTGGCAGTGTGTTTTCACCAACTATTCTTTTAGTTACAAGTCAGTTCCCTTCATTCGTTTATCCTTTAGGGGAAAGTAAAAATAGAACATATCACTCTTTGCAACTGTCCAGAAAACCCCTTTGCCATGACTCATTGTCCATGCACTGTTACACAGAGACAATGCTGCTGACATTGCAGCTGCCAGGTGACTGGTACGGGACATGCGGCAGTGGCTGATGGGGAAGTCACTAAGGGGTGGGTAAAAAGGAGCGGCGACAGGTGCGAAGTCTGAGTATCATCATGGGGTGTGGGGGAGGAAGACTTTCATGCAAATCTTAATAGTATAAAGTCATTTATTATCTCACTACACGGTCCCAGGCTGGTGCCACGCTGTACTGTGCTCTTCACACATCTGAATTGATGCTCAGGTTGGCCAAACGTGGGTCAGAGTTTATCTCATACCTGTAATGATACCCCTCCATGTGGTCCCTACAAGCATCCCGGATGTTGTACATCCACCGTTTGATGCCCTTTCTGTTCAGGTAGAGCACCAGCAGGAATATGACACCGATCAGGGCCAGCACCAGTCCCAGGAACACGTAAGAAGTCCCCAGCACGCCCTTCATCTCCATCGAGCACTTCAGCTCGTACTTCTCCAACTGCAGAAGTGGCTGGCGTCTCAGGTCCTTGGGGTTCGTGCAGGTCAGGTTCTGGACGTCGACGACCTGAGTGGAGTTCTTCAGCCACATCAGCGTGTCCTCGATAAAGCAGTTGCAATGCCAGGGGTTCCCTGCCAGCTGGATGCGGAGGTCGGGCTTAAGGCTGAACTCTGCCATCATGATGCTGGACAGATCTTTCAGGCTGTTGTTCCTCAGGTCAAGGTCACGCAATGGGGGCACTCTGAGAGTCCCGTTGTGGATGTTGATGATGGAGCTGTTCTGCAGGCTGAGGCTGACCAGGCTGGAAAGACCAGTGAATATATCGCTGGGAAGAATCACAAGGTCATTGTTGGACAGATCCAAGACTGTCAGCTGGACGAGGTTCCTGCTGTGCAGGAAATTTAAAAGCTCATCTGTGGTGGAGTGATTGTGCAAAGACCTACTGAGGTTCAAGTGTTGCAGTTTATTGTCACTGGGGAAAGCGCTTTCACTGAAATGCTGGAGTGTGTTGTTGCTCAAGTCCAGCCACACAAGGTTTGGCAAGTTGTTAAATGCCATTGTATCCACATACTCCAGCTCATTCCCACTGAGATGGAGCTCTGTTAATAGCTCCAGGCGGGTTGGGAAAGAGTCCCCACTAATACGGGAAATGCTGTTTCCTGACACAAATAGAATTTTGGTGTTGTTTGGTATGAAATGCGGGATCCTGTCCAAGTCCTTGTTTTGGCATTTCACAGTTTGTGAGGAGCACAAGCATTCCTCCGGGCACCCGTGACCGGACGGCACGATCGCGAGGAGGAAAAGTAAAAACATCACGCCGGACTTTCGGAGTCTCCCTCGCGTGCCTCCGCAGTCACTATCGCACAACGTGCTTGACATGCGCCTCTTGGAGTTTGGAAATCAGTGTGCGCAGAGCGTGCGTAAGGAAATCGTTTTTAAAACAATCCAAGCGTGCGACCCCTGCTTCGTTATTCGTCCGCGGTGTGGGGAACAAAGGAAAGTTTTTCTAACACCGTTTCCCACGTTTATCCTTTCGAAAAATGCCCCCAGTTCCAACTCCATACAACTACCGCCACACCATCCTTGTTTAGGATGAGTCTACATTTCAGTGAAGCAGGCAAACTTCTCCGATCCTGTTTCTTTGTCTTCCCAGTCTCAGGCTTTTCGGAACATTAGAGGTACACGATATTTCCCCCCCTTTCCTTAGCAAAACAAGCAAATCCAGAATATTTATTTCTTCTTTTTCTTCTTCTTCTTCTTCGTTTTTTTTTTTTTTTTACATCCAGTTACTTATTCCGGCTGCCGGTTTCCAAACAGACAAAACTCTCGTTCTCCCAGAGGTGCCATATATTACAAACGTATTTCCAGCATTCCGCTCCTCCTAATCGTTGCGCGTCAAGAGGGAAAGACCAACCGCAGCAACACAGTGCAGACCATTGCAAGGAGGGAGCGTACCATTATTCAAGAAAAGAGGGGGTGAACAGAAAACTCCCACAAGTTTTCTTCGGCCTTCAGTTTTATTTCTTATGCTTATGCTTATAAGTGGTTTATTTTTTTTATAAACCTAACCTGAAACTCTTGCAGTATTCATAAATTGGCTCGCAGTATGTATGAAGAGGGCTGAATAGTTCGTCTTAAATGGGACATGGGCTTATGGATAGTTTAGTGTGGAAGTGTTAACATTCATTTTATTCCTGAAAATCGCAGTTACTTTCTGTATTAAAAAATAAAATGTTCTATATAGTCTCAAAGAAATCAAGAACAGATTTAAAGAAGCAAGCCAGTCTGGCTGTTGGATTAAGTGTTATATATTAGAAAGAACGAGACACAGCACTGTCATTATTAGTATTATGATGTGAAGACATTATGAAGAGAGATGGAAGGGTTTTGTGCTCATGCACACTTCAGTTGTTTTCTTATATTTTAAATTTTAATATGTCACTGTTCTACCCTACAGGAGTCTAGATTTCCTTTTATAAATAACTGTAGCGTTTGGATTGAATGACTTGTCAAACATAAGTTAAAAATAAATGTAATGAAGCTCTAATAACTCATGAATAAAACGGAAGCGGTACTTGATATTCTACAAAAAGAGGAGGTGACCCTGCATGAGGAAAGGGAGGGAAGGTAAAGGATTATCAGTCCTTATTGCATTTTTATGAATTGTAGTTTTTACTAAGCAACAGACCATAAATCAGTATTTTGCACTGTTTAGTTAAAAGGAAAAGGGCGCTTTCATGTGGTCTCTTATGTCAAAGGGTCACCAGATGCCCTTGCTTACCCACTCATCCGAATTTCTCAGACTTGGGACCAGCACTGGGAATACACCAGCTTGTGTCCTCCTGAGTCTGGGTTCGTGTGTCTCCTCCTGGTCTCAAACTGGGGACAGTTTGCTTACATGATGAATCTATGAAGATAAACGAGGAACACCATGAAGATTTATTACATGTCAGCGAAATACTAAATTAAATAACAGTAAAGAAAACACAAAAAGTGCCTGGATATTGTGTATTAATATAGTACTATATGTGTAATTTCTAAACATGGTTTTGATCCCCATTAATTATGGCAAAACTGTTTGGCTGTAATTGTACCTGACTGCGGCCTTGTAGAAGCATCGTCTGGGCAATTGAACAAGAGTCATAAGATTGAACGGTGAGGGAGGGAGTGCTCATTAATATGGCATATTTGGGAGCAGCCCCTAGTGTGTATCTGAGCGTAATCTTAGCTTTACCCTCCTTTGACCCTCTGCTATAGTCCTGGCCAATATGCCAGTCATCTGTGTAATTCCATGAAACCTGGATTCTGAATATCTAACTACATGATGCTTTTCTGGAGAACCTACAAACTTTACATCTTCTTGTTATATTAACGCTAAATGTGGTAAACTCAAAATGTTGATCATCACATAAGTTTTATTCACCGTTGAAGAAAGAAAACAATGATCAGAGATGGTTTTTAAAACCTTTTCTATCCTATTCGTTTATCCTCAAAGTTTATATTTAAGTGTGAATAGCATTAGTCATTTAAAAAATATTCAATAATGAATTCTTGCTTCTATGG